CTGCTGGAGATCTATCATTTCGGAGGAGCGCCGGCACTTGAGATAGGAACGAACTAGGCTTCAGAAATCCTGCTGGAGATGTATCAATAATTACCAAACGACAATTCATGGCAACTTGTCTGGTCCGATAGGTTAACGAATTTTTTTTAAAGATTCCTCACCATTACTGATTCAGCTCGCTCTACTGGCTTGTTGGACATTGGATAAATATGCCAGGGAGCCCCTTGGCTATAGAAATACAGGTGAGTCTCCAGCATCGCCTGGATTATTGGACAGGTTTACTGCGCGGGAATAGAACCTTAGCATCGGCGCTCCAAACTGAGCAATAACCTGCTGAACCATTCTATCCAAGGCTAATAGAATAGATCCAAATAAAAGCTCTTCACCTGATTATTTTACTAATTTAGTGAATATTATTATATTGAGGCAATCAAAGTATCAATTTTTCGAAATGTTAGCGGATGAGTGTTGATAAGGGAAATAATGATTTTGATTCCGAATCTTCAAAAAGAAATAAAGAAGAGGTGAATTCGATAAGAAATCATTTTTAACCATTAATATTGGAATTTTTTTCCAAGAGCGTTTTCTGATTAAGCATGCTCACTCCTCTGCTTTTGTTGGACCAGGTGAATTTTTGCTAGGGAGCCATTTTACGATAGAAGCCAGCACCGCCTATATTTTCGAATGGCAAATTTATTTCAGCCGAGAGTTTCGCTGCTCTGAGGTAGGAGTAACCATTAAGCCATTCTACCTCAAAATAATAATTGCCATAAGCTAATAAAATTTTAAAAAAACTAATTATTTTTATAATTATCAGTGAATATTCTATATGTTCTTCCTTTATTTTTTCTTCCTTTTTGATTCTTTCTTTATTTAGGAGCGATATTAGGAGAAAAATTGCTTCATATTGGTTTAGGCAATTCATGCAAAGAAAATGGCCAGAAATTATGTGAAATTAAGCTACGAAAATAACACAGAAAATAATTCTGAAAGTTCCATGAATCCTGATAGAAATGAAATTTCTGAGGAGCAATTTAAATTTGAAAATCAAGCAAAATTACAATCATTCAAATGCTTAGATCCGTCAAACGATGTAGCAGTGATTTTCAACGATCAAATAACGGTTTGCAACTGTCTTTAATTCGATAAAGATTAAATAATTCCGATCAGGATGTATTAAGATTGATTACAGAATTCTTTTATCAGTGTATAACAAACAACCTTTATCAGTATAAGTGACGTTTCTTTATCAGCGGATAAGAACCTTTATCAGTGTAAATAATGATCCTTAATATAAATTCTTTATCCTTTATAAGCAATATTTCCAAAGAATATATAAGCAATATTTCTGAAAAAATCAAATATTTGAAAAATTATAATCAAAACCCAACAATGTCAAGTCAAAGATGTGATACGAACAGAAAATGATTCATATGAAATAATTAACTGATTTTTGATTTCAAATTCTTCGAATCTTGAGCGGTTGTATTTCTATTCCGTTGTTTTTTTTATGCTTTTTTCGGAATATTTTTAGAATTTCTATAAACTAAGGATAAAGGAGCTAAGTATTTTTCTAAAAAACAAAGAGTTGAAATAATAATTATAATAATAATAATAATTATAAAATAATGTTATGTCTGTCTTTGACAGGAGTAAACCTGTCATATCAAAAACCCAGGTGGCTTTTGGGGATTCACCTGTACCAAGCGATTCTATGGTGAAATGTTCTTAAAACGGCGTACTCGCATGATCCCCAGCTTCCCAGCACGGTGGTACATGCGATAAGTATATAATCCGAGGATAACTCGGATAACTCGGAGGAAAATGGCGTAGTGATTGTTATGTTTGAAAAGGCTCGATCCGGTTTGATTGAATGGAAGCCGGTAAACGACATAGTGGCCTACGCTTGCTTCAAAGGATAATTCTCCAGTAATTCGGCCAGTATATATATATATATATATATATATAACTTGAAGTTTAAGCGCAAATGATCGTGATAAGTTCAAATTCCATGGAGAACTTTAGGAAATGCTGCTGGTTGGGTGGCGAAAGCAGCTGTCCAACTATCTGGAAAAGCTGCACAAATGTAGGAAATTCTGACTACCTAATTATGAAATTGGAAGAATTGCAACGACAGCAGCACGGCGAGGTAAAAATCACTATTGGAGCAACGTGACCTTGAAAGTAGAGACGGCGACTCGATTAGGAAACCATTCTACCTTCTTCATAAAGCAACAACCATAACTCAGAGAATGATCTCAAGGGACTCAGGGTAAAATGGTAAGGGATAACAATGGCGTGGCTGTTAAGAATATAAAGGATCGCCTCATAAGATGGAAGGAATTCTTTAATGCCAAACTAAATCACAACGTACCATCTGTTGACCTGGATATAGCTGATACGTTCGTTAAACTATATGTTTGCAATTGCGAGCTGCCAGCAGAAGAAGAAGTAATCTCCGTTATCCATAAGCTTAAGGCCAATAAGACTCCAGGGAGAAGATGGTCTCCGAGCTCTTGAAATGTTGTACATCGTTATTCATAACGCGCCTTCAACTCTGAATGTATTCTTTGCTTTGGATAAAAGAAATATTAACAGATGACTGGGGCAAAGCAATTCTGCTCACAATTTTCAAGAAAGATGGCAGGACATATCACAGGACTATGACAATTGCTGAGGAATTAGCCTACTAGACGTCTCAACGAAGATTTTTGCTTTCTTTTTATTCAGTAGACTTATGGAAATACAGTACAGCAGGATGCGCCATAATCAAGCTGGATTCAAAGCGAGGCGTAGTTGTGCTAAGCAGATATTCACATCAAGAAGAGTTCAATATTTGAAACATTGTTTAAAATATTTTACACTCATCATCATGTGTTTCATCGACTTTGCTTTCGATTTAATTGATTTAATTGCGGCGCTTTGAAGGGTAATGGCATGCGATGGTATTTCAGAGAAGATCATTTGACTCATAAAGGCATAGTTTTATGGCGGCGCAGGTTTGTATATGGGAGAACTGGCAGAATCCTTTGAAATAAGAACTGTTGTTCGTCAAGGGTGTATCCTTTTTTCTATAATATTCAATTGTGCGATAGACTGGATAATGGACACCGCTTGTCGGCACTCAAGGGGTGTCCAAATCAGTCTAGGGCATCGTATCACAAATCTTGAATGCGCTGACGATGTAGTCCTTTTTGCTGACATTTATGACGAAACGAAAAAATAATGCTAAACAACGTGTAACGTGTCAGCCAGAATCGGGCTTAGTGCCAATGTAAATAAAACGAAAGCCTTTTCGTCTTATGTGCAAGAAGTTGATAGAATGCCTCTTTGTATAAATTCATTACCGATTGAGGAAGTGTCTGATTTTAAATACCTTAAATACCAAATGGCCAGGCAAAAGACGATATTATAAACCCGATCACAGAGCTAAAAATGTGTTCTTCCGGTTGACAAAACCCTTATGGAACCGTCGCGAAATAACCATAAAAACGAAAAGCCGCCTATGTAGCCATGATTTGTTCGATCTTGCTATATGGCTCTGAGGCATGGCTGATGCGAGTGGAGAATATTAAGAAATATTAAGAAATTATCTGCCTTTGACCACTCGGTCTAAGGTACATTTTACGAGTTCGCCGAGTGGATAATATGATCGCATCTACCTTCGTTCAAATACTACTTGCATTAACAATGCCACCATAGAGCATAACTTTCGCTGGTTAGGGCAAGTACTTCGCCTCACAAGAATTGACACTTATTTCATTATTAGCTAAACCCTGTGTTCGAAGGCATCAAAAGCGAGATGGACCAATCAAAACCTGGACTGATACGGTCAGAAAAGATCGTGTAGATACCAGCAATATATGGACTTAGACGATGGAAAAAGGAATGGCTTCTATTACTGTCGACGATGGCATCAGACCTTGCGGCTTGGAAGCATTTTGCCCTTGGTAGCCACTGGAGTTAGCCTAACCAGTAATGGTGTGAGCTGTTGGAAGAAGAAAAAGAATTGGTTTTTCATGAACTGAATCTCATCTTCAAAAATAGCTGTTGTTTGTATTGGGTGCCTTGTCCTGTGACTAGTCGATTGACACTAGTTAACTAGTTAACAAATTCATCAAGTCATTAGAAATAAGATTCAGGTTGGTCCTCCCGTCTTCTCCCTGCTTAATTGATTAAACATTAATATTTCATTCTATTTACAATTTATTTCTCGAAGGTTTATGTCGATCTGTTAGAATTTTCGCTAATTTCGCCATATTTTCGTGCAGCATTATTTGGTCACTTTGTGGAAGCTAAAACGAAGATGATATTTCTGGACGAAAATTCAGTTAGTTCTTTCGATTTTGACAAAAAGAATATAAAATGAAAACAAGAACCAGAAATGCGGTCGTTTATTTGGAATCTATTCCCTGCATTTGTTTTTGGTGTATGTGACCCTGGATTGGCACACTTCATTAATGTAAAATGGATTCATATGTTTTTTTTGATATATGGTACTTTAAGTGTATCAGTATAATGTTTATTGTTATAAGCACTATAGACGAATTTTTTAAATAAATGGTGATGATTAAAATCGGAATCCGTCTAAATATAATCCTTATATTTCACCTGGTCCTTTATAGAATTGGGCGATGGTGAAAACAGCCGTCAAATTCCACCAAATGATTAAATAATAATTAATAAATTCGGATTGTGTTTTTTTTACCGCTGATTTGATTAAAACCTATAAACCAACTTTTCTGGAAGTTTCTGGGCCAGAAACGCAAGAACTAGGCAATCTTTAATCTTTACAAAACCTAAGCATGATATCGTGTCCTAATAAATCAAATTCTCAAACTGAATTTAAATGATTTTTAAATGATTTTCTCTAACTTATTATTAATACATATATATATATATATATATAACCCATTTTTCAGCATGAAAAGTTTTTATACTGCTGTACACTTCTCCAGCAGCTTACAACTAAAATAAAAGATGTAAAGGACATAAGTTGGATGTCGCTGCAAGCAGCGTTTGAGGTATATAAATTGTCGAACTTTTCTTCCTTTAAGGCGAATTAGTCATTATTGCTCTTTTAAAGATGGGGCATCTGTAAGCCACTCACTCTGTGGGTAAAGATAGGGCTCTGATGTTTGTGAGAGACTAGTGCCATTCTTTTTTCAATCGCCATATATCAATAGGACACTCGTTTTCTTTCTCAGTCCAAGCTATGGTTGAGTGTTATCGCTTTCGATTAGCAATAGTGGTTCTGACGAGCAAACAAAAAGTACGATTCGACCCAGAGTTAGCGATAGCCTGATGTTATTAATACATATGGTATTCAGTAGAGATAGTTACAGTCCTGCAAGATGTCCAATGTCCACTGAACCAATATGAAAAGCGAGTACGGCAAAGGGACATTGCTTCTTGATATCCTTCGATTTCATTCGTAGTCAAACAAGAGGATTATATGCACTGTAACGAAACAGATGAACATGTGAATTTACTTTCTGATGTTAATTTGATGCGCTTTTACAAAGGTTTTGCTAGCCAGGATGAGTTATTTCTATATGTAATTATCCGGGAAATTTCGTCTGTAAGCCACTATCACTTAATTAGTTGTTTATTACAGTGAAGATATTTGAAAATTTGCTGACGAAAACTAAATTTTTTGTTTCTTAAAGCGCTTGCTGGTTAGGCTAGCATCGCTGTCTTGTCGGACCAGAAAAATTCTATCCGAATTCTTCACTTGTTTTCTCACATATCGATGAACATCCACTCTATCACAGTTAAAATTATCGAGGATAAATCCTGACATGTGATATTTTTATTTTAAAACGCTACGCCATTCTACCATATCTACAAAATGGCGTTGACAATAGAAAAAAAACAGTAATAAGCTCTTTAAAACAATAAGCTCTTACCATAATTGGTTCCAGATGGCTTCGCTGGCTACGAGGATAAGGTGTTTCAATATGTTTAGCATAAAAATACGACATATTATTTATTAAATTACGTATTATGTATTAATTAAAATATCTTTAGATATTAGATATTGCTTCATACTTGCTTATTGACCCAATTTTGCCAGTAATTTCGGATTTAATTTTAAAAAAAATTAATGCTAAATCATTGGTTCTTGCATTTCATAAAGCCGGTTCGTATAATTTTCTATTATCTAAAATAACTCTTCTATTATCTATTTCTATTATCTAACTAAAATTGTTTATTAAAATTATAAAATTGTTAATAATTGTTTATAATTGCGTATTAAACTGTTTATTATTTATTTTATTATCTAAAATAGCTAAAAATAACTAAATTTTTAATGAAAAATTGATAATGAAAAAAATGAATGATAAGATTAAATAAATTGAATAAATTAATGATTACTAACAACGCACCATTTTTGCTAATATGATTAAAAATTTTTTCCAGGGAATCATTTAACAGTAGAAATACAGACTGGGTAGTTAATATCACTCGCATTTCTTAATGACACGTTTACTGCTCTTGTTGTAGGCAGAAATCGAACTCTTACCTCTACAATAATCTGAACCCTATTTAGTTAGCTTTTCTGTTCTGTTGTCTATTAGGACGAAGCACTGCCAAGTCGCACCTGCCCACATTTATCAACGTATCTAAAATTAATAGCTGAAACGTCCTTTTTTGTGAAAAATTCATATTGAATTGCTTTTCACTAAAAAAAGAATATCGATATGTGCCATTAGCCCAACGATTGTGGAAAATAATTGTTCAAGAATTCGACAAATTAATTATGAATGATACATTTGTTAGGTAAATTTTCCAATGGCCGTTAAACCATTTCTCTTGAAAAATCTTTAATTTTCACTGAAAATTGAATGAATCTTAAACTTCAGAAAAATTGTTAAAAATAGAATTTCAATCTCTTATAATATCAAATCATTTTATCATTAAAGGAGCTTTAAAAGCACTTTTAATTTATAAGGTGATTAGAGATTATGAGGTATTTTTGAAATTATTGAAGATGTAGAGAAGAATTAGACTTAATTTGTCGAGTGTTGCAGATTGACTGAAGATGAAATATTAAAACTTCTCACCGATAAATATTTAAATATAAAACGTTGTGATGAAACAGCTATGGTACGAAGATGGCTTTCCGTAAGTTTCCATTCAATACAATTTCTGAGAATCTTTTATTTCTGAGAAATTCAGCGCCGAAATGAGAACGACAATCCTTCAACCCATATGTTACCACAGCAAGAAACAATAAATATATATTAATATGAATATATATTTCAGGAGAATGCTAACAATGGAAACAATGGTAGACGATTAAAAGCAATGTTAGCTGATAAATGTGATCGACTTGGTTTCATGGAAAATGAAACAAGAATACCAAATTCAATACTGTTAGCAACTGGTACATATAAAAAGTCAAATCTTTAATAATTGACTTTTTGAATATTCGATGAACTTTTCGCCCATTTAAGAAAAACCATTTGAGAAAAATGAGAAAAATGGAAAAGGAAACACATGAATGAATTTTTTTTACATTTGATAACCATAAAACTGCTGAAATTTTGCTTGGATTCGCATAATCGTCAATAAATTCATGATAAATGCAAAAGATTTATAGAACAATTAAAAATATTGGTAGAAGAATTTCAGGTGGCTGGTCAGCTATTGGACCAACAATGCTTGTAGAATCACTCGATGTGAGATCAAAACGATGGGTTAGATCTGAAATAAAACTATTTGAGATATCTCGAGCTTATCATGCAGTTATCAATATGGGCGATGCATTATTCACCATTGGCGGCTTCGATGGCAACGAATACTACCGATCAACAAGGAAATTTGATTTGGCAACCATGGTATTTATTTTCAGATTTTCCACTGTTTATCCTTTACAATAAATTTTTGCAATCACAATAATATGCATATTAATTGAAATTTTGGTTTTAAGCAATGTGTCGAAGTGGCACCAATGTATGATCAACGATGTTATGTTTCATGCGCTCAATTGGATTCTGAAAGACTGATTGCATTAGGAGGATATAATAATCGCGAAAGGCTAAAATCGGCAGAAATTTTCCATATTCCAACAAATCAATGGCATCGAATCGCTGACATGGATAAAAGAAGGTTGGTGAAAAGTAAATCAGCACCTATCTCGATTTTAGTTTCGACGATAGTTTTGCTCATATCAAAAAAGAAATCGAATCTATGCTGCTTATCATAAAACGAAGAATTATCAGAATTTGTCGGATTCGACAGCGCAGCAAGTCTAACCAGAAATGTATAGCATAGTATAAAAAGCTTCGAATCTTTCAACAAATTTAGAAGCGATGGCCATTGCGTGGTACTCGACGGCAGAGTTTATGCTATAGGCGGTTTTGACGGAATTAATTGTCATTCAACAGTTGAATTTTACAATGAAGAAAGTAATCACTGGATTGATATCAATATTATGCGTTGTCCGGTTGCTTTTACTTTCCTTCGAATTTTCTGTTAAGAAAATTTAAATTATTACAGAAAACAAAGACCAATCCAAGCTGTATTCAAAGGTCTAAATGATAAAATTTTAGCGATCTGGTGTAGGGGCAACATCGTTAGTTGGTGCAATAATAGTTTGTGGTGGATTTGATGGACGTAATAGATTGAGATCATGCGAATTCATTGATCCTAGAGAGGGAAATTGGCACCGAATACGATCAATGAATAGACCAAGGTAACATCATTTCCTCCTTCTTTTTGAAGACTATTGCTGCCCATCATTTATGATTTGGCTGATATGATTAACTAACTACAATAGTAACTCGGTTTTTTAATAAGCAAGTATACACCTCAAGCATTATGGTTCGCCTCTTATCTTCCGGTAAGATAAACCTTTGGGCGATGCCATGAAGACCCAGCTATACTTCTATTTCTTTAGTTCCTCTCTGGCGAGGAGCTATCTTCTCCCACTAATAAACAGTTAAGCTAAACCAGAAATGAGAAATTATTAGGGTAAACGCGTCCAGATATATTTCTTTGGCCAAAGGCTCATTTAAGGATAAAGATGTGTCACCTGGGTTTCGTTCCTTCTTTGGTTCTTAATGAAATGAATTTAAATTTTGTCATAAATATTAAATAATCGGGAAATATCATACAATTACAGATCAAATTTTGGAATTGAAACATTAAATAATGAAATAGTAGTTGTGGGTGGTTATTCGGGAATTATTGGAACAATTAATGAAGCAGAATCACTCGATATTCGTACAAATACATGGATGCAACTACCATCGATGAATATTCGAAGATCAGCGCTCTATTTAACGCGAATTGATTATCATGAAATCATCGAAAAGTTTATTCGACCTAAAAACGGTATTGTATGATAATAGAAACGCAACGTGATAATTAATGATAATATTTTTGTACAAATATTTTTGCTACTGATTTAAGTAAAAAAGGCAAAGGGGTACTTTCACTGAAGGGTAAAAGAGATACGCGAGATAACCATTAAACCTCGTTTTAATCCCACAGAATTTCGTTACGATGCCTTTTACGACTGCCATATCCCGTCAAACCCTTTAAATCTTCCAGATGGATTATATTCCTTCAATCCTATCGCAACAACCTCTAAGCCAAGAAAATGTTTACAAAGTTTGAAAAAATGAAAATGTTTACAAAGTTTAACACACATTGTTCGCTAGAATGCCTCCACTGGATCATTGCTCACAATTCGGAATGCCCATGCCAAGGTTCCACTTCGCCCGATAATCAACCGACCTTCACAAAACCCATGAGTGTTAGCTACCCATGCCTATTTTTTTATCCAGTGCCGAATTTTGGGGCATTCTAATTAGCATAACGCGGCGCTCTTTTCATCTTATAGTGAATGCTTTCAATTTTTATAAAACCATCGACACTTCATTCTAACAGACACGAAAGATAACATTTGGAAACTAAGGAAACCCTCATAACCCACGACGAAAACTATTCAACTGATCTTTACAGCCTCAGCATTCTCAAATGGCAGACTCATCAACGAACGAGAATCTCCCATTTTTGACCATTTTCCCATGCTACTCAGATCATTCATTATCAGATTAAGTTTGAAAATGCACGAAACAAATATTTTGTGCATTTATTAATTCAACAAATTCACCGGAATTATAATAATTCAAAACAATAAATTCCGCATAGCATATAGAACAGACGGCTAATGAAACAAAATCACCCTGACATCTCGAGATTTTAAGAAATATCCCATCTATTTGTCGATATTTACCTAAAAAATTAACATATGTAAAGATATAAAACAAAAAATAAAACGCATATAAGCAAAGGCCAAATAGATAAAAACTACTACTCACTGCTCACTGAACTCACTGAACTATTCCATTGGTTACAATTCCATCATTCATAAATCCACGATTTCTACCATCTTGCATAAATGCATGACACTTCCCAGCTCGCAAAAACATTTTCATGCTCCACACAACAGTTTGTTCAAGAGCGATTGATTTATACGTCGTCTGTGTGGCGAAGCTTGGAGACTTTCTTCCGTTGCGCCTACAACTATCGCGACAACCCTATATCAATATGTGGATTTACCCTACAATAAATTAGTTATAGAACATTGCGAAAGGTGTAACTCACCACTTCATGTTCTTGGAAAATTTGCCAAAAGAACAGACGACCACAGCCTGACGCCTCTTTTACCACATCACCCATCACAAAGTGCCATCATCACTCCAAAAAATAAGCCACGAAACTTCCAATGAAACAACTGGTAATAATAGCATTTATAAGTCAGTCCATATGGAATGAATAAAATATTGAAACACGCGACTAATTGGCGAAGCATAAGGAGAGTTATTACTGGAGAAGAGTAAAATGAAAGGTGTAACTCACTACTTTATTACTGCTACAAGATTTTTTTAATCTTGAAAATTCACAATACGTTTATTAGCACAATTTACTTCATTTAATTTTTAAATCATTAGTAAATAAGTGCTTAAATTTATTATTGTTGGCTCGCTGAATGCTAATACGGTTAAAAATTTTTAAAACGAGTCAGCGATAGATGTATAAAAGTATTGCCGATTTTTTTAATTACAGGTTTTTTAAACTGCAGCGTGGTGATAGGAATCAAACCCTTCCCTTCCTTTCAACACTTCTATCCCTTTTTTCTATTCATTCCTTACCTCATAGAAAGATTTTTTTCATAATTAATATTGTATTAGCACAAGGATCTGAGCAATATTAGCGGAGAGTGGAATTTGGAATAAATTTTAAAAAATAAATATCAAGAAATTATCGAACAGAAAATAATTTATGCATAAATCTGGCGACTATAGTAAATGAATAAAGGGTGAACTGAAAGGATAGTAGCGTTTGAACAATTGCAATTGCCTTTTAAGCCATTTTTTCTTTTTTTCATTTAATTTGCTTCCATTTTAAATTTTTTTTAATACAATAAAATTTTTCGTTGGTCATCCATAATTTTCTTTTGTTTTGTTCAGCTTAAATATTAGCCGAATTTTAGATTGAAATTTAAACGATTTTCGAAATTTTCGTTGCAAAATATTTTAGCGAAAATATAAAAAAATATTGCCAAAAAATTAATCCACTTTAATCGGACATTACAAATTTCGCTAAATTGAGTTGCATCCGCCATTCATGATTTTTTCTATTTTGACTTAATCAGAATATCGCGCAATTTACAAATGCATACTTTAATTTCTTCTCCTAACAGCTCTCACCATTACTGGTTAGGACGGCTACAAGGGCAAGACGCTTCCAAGCGGCGCTGTCTGATGCCATCGTCGACAGTAATAGAAGCCATTCCTTTTTCGATCGTCTAAGTCCATATAATGCTACACCTATATGTTCAAAATCTATGTCCAATGTTCACCTAATCTTTTCTGTCAGTCCAAGTTTTGATTGGCTAAATTTAATATCAACATGCGAGCAACATGAGCATTTTAAGCATCGAAATCAGAAAATATAAAATATTTCTGATTAATCCAACAATTTTCAAGAATTAAGAATTATGGAAAATACCACTTACCGAGTGGTTTCCATTTTGGATAATAGTAAGTAACATCAATAATCCGTGAAATCGAAACGAAAAACAACTGGACGACAAGAGGACAATGCAACTAATGATCCGGTTTATCTCTAATAATTATACTCGTTACTTCAATAAATCATTTCCTATATTATTTCAATAACTTATTTTCAACATAATTTTTATCAGTAAGTTCCATATTATGCTTTACTATTATTATCACTTAACTTTGTTATTATTTGTAATACTCCAGTTGAACACCATGAATTTACATTCTGAATATATATATATCCTGAATATTCCAGAATATTCTGAAATTAAAATTTACTGGTAAATGGCTTTTTTCATTTCTTTATATTTATTTTTATATATTACCTATAATTATATCGATGATTGAAATGTTTTGACATTTTTTGGTATTTTATTCGATAAGATCAAGATTATTATTGAGATAGTTAAGATTTAAAAAAAACAATTCAGGATAGTTTTGATTTCAAAATTAGCTTTTGCTGAATATTAGTTATTCACATTAATTAGTTCTGTAATCAATATTTGTAAAAATACCAACAAATGTTAAAAGATTTTACTGTTTTTTCGGGTAAAAATTTCATGTAATTTAACAAAATTGGTAGAATATTTAAGTATGGCTAAATTGCTAAGTTCAACAATTCCATTCATTTTTTATTAATTAATTAACCTTTAAAAACATACAGTAAATGAATGATTTTTAAAATTTGCTCACTTTATAATTTACAACTATTTTTTCTAAATATTCCCAGTCAAAAGTTTTTTTTTTAAGAGTCCTCACCATTACTGGTTAAACTCGCTCCACTGGCTTGTCGCATTGGGCAATATGCCAGCGAGTCCCTTGGCGATAGAAATACAGGTGAGTCTCCAGCATCACCCGGATTTTTGTACAGGTTTAATATTGCGGGGAATCGAACCTCAGCATCGGCGCTCCAAAGTCCACATCGGTGCTCCAAAGAGCAACAATCCACTGAGCAATTCTGTTCCCTAGTCAAAAGTTTTTATTTTCTTTTCATTTTTTTCCACTTCTCACTTATTAAAATTTGCTCATTTTATGACTTTTTGATCATTATAAGTTCACTTCGTATCAAGTTTTCCAGTTAAATATCAACAAATGTTGAATTTTTGAGTTTTTTTTATTTCACCTAGTTATGACAGCAGTACACACAGGTATATTTGATATAAACGAATTGTTCGTTTCCATGACTGTGGATATAATACATACGATTGAATGGTCAATGCTCCAGCTCCAGCTAAAAGAATGGTAGTTTAACCGAAATAGAAGAGAAAAAAATTTCCAATTGGCGAAAAGCATTTAATAAAATCTTGGAGTGGCCAACCACGTAGTAAAAGACCAAAAATTTATTTCCTTAATTTCTTCTGATCTATTTATTTCATGGAATTTCATGAAGTCTGGTACTTCTTCAATCGGCAATGAGTTTATAAAAGAGCATTTTATCAGCTTCCTGCATATAAGACGAAAAGGCTTTCGTTTTATTTACATTGATCCGAATCTCGCTGCAGTTACTGACATATTGTCTAACATTTGCATTTCGTCAGCATATCATCAGCGTATACAAGAATTGATTTGTACACCTCTTGAGTGCCGATATATCCATTACTCAGTCTATCACGTAATTGAATATTATAGGGAAAAAGACGCAGGAAGCCTTCTTATTTCGAGGGAGTTCACTAGCTCCACAGATCTGCGCCGACGTGCACTCATAAAATGCCTTTATGAGACGAATGATCTTCTCTACAACATCGGTAGGAGAATGTCATCTGTGCCCGTTGTAAAACTAATTTAAAATCGATGGTCTTAAAACGATGGCGAGTTTGTTGTAAATATTGTTGTCACATTGTATTTTCTATCAATTGATATTATTTTTTAAAGCACGGTCCATTTTTTGTTGGAGTGGGTGTGTTGGCTTGTGGGGTCAGACGAATTTTGCCGATAAATCAATAAATTTGGTTATAGAAAAATAAAGGTTAGTAGCCAACACTACTTGGAATTTTGAAAGGCATTTGAGTGGAACCCCAGCATCAGCGTTCCAAAATCTCAGTCACCCACTTCGTTGTTATTTGTTGAAGTTTTCTAAAATTTTTAATTTAATAATAATTCAGAAATGCCAGGTGTTCATACATTTTACGATGGTTCAACGCTGCTGAGTCCAATTGCTTCAGTCGTTAATATTGAAATTGATAAAGTTATTTTTACTTCTCTGCGTGATTTTTTTTACTGAGAAAATTTGGCACTTTTCATTTTCGTGGACAGCAATAATTGGTTGTGTCTCTTCTCAGACTCATGTTGATTTTTGTTCTAACGGACTCACGGACCACTGTGTCTTAAATTTCGTCTCTTCTGATTCCCTTTATTGACGAATGGAAATCGTTGCTGTCTACTTAGCTGGAAAGTGCTGAAATTTCTATATAACTGACTTCAAAAAATTGCCGTGAAAGATTTATTGTTTTTCAGAATTTTCAGAAATTTTAAAAGAACTTTCCTCATCCCATCCAATCCTCAACTTCGGACCCTCTATCAGAGGCTTGGAAAATTGAGGATTCTGCGCAATATCATTAGCTGCTTCGATAGTGCGCTCTTTTGTATACTGAGATCTGCTGGAACCAATCTTTGCTTCATTTGTCACTGGAATCACTTTTCCTTTATTTTCCACATATTATCTAGTTCCTCTTCCAGCCATTCGTATTCCTCATATTCCTTCTTTCTGACGTTCCTGTCGCTTGGTATTGCTATATCTATCACCAATGCTAATTTCTCGTTTTTGTCTACTACCACGATATCTGGTGATTGGCCAGTACTATTTGTCTGTTTGGATGGGGAAGTCTCACAGGGTCTTCACCTCTATGATTTTCTGAGGATCTCCTATTTAGTCTTGGGAGAGTCTAAGTCATGTACCGAATAGATATCCATGTAAATGATGCCAGCCACTTGGTTATGCCCTTTCAGCGCACGTTTCTCCATTTCACATTCCGCCACTATATATACGACTGTTTCTGGGAGGAGATTTTTGAGTCCTGTTTAATGTAATGGAGCCTTGTCTCATAGATTTGGTACTTAGTGGCTACAATCAATATTACGTTTTAGTCCAGCTTTCTCCATCCACTGGTAGGATTTCACAGTGTTAGCTACCTCAGCTATCTGTCGATAATGTGTGGAGGGCCTTGCTTTGCCACGGTATTTCCTCTTCTTGATCTTTTTCTTTTTAATTATGGTTATTATGGTTATATTAACCAGCCTTCTTCTTCATTAGCAGCCGCGTATTTGGTGCCTGGCGTACATATTTATGTCATGGATTTTGTTCTTCCCATCGATTTAACTCTTCTATATTCGTTTTATCCTCTGATAATATTTACATGTTGTCTTCCTTCCCTCTTTATCTGGTTACCATGTGATTGTGGTATACCAAGGTAGTTAGCCTGTATGTCCGTTGTATGTTTTTGTGACAGATCCGCCCTATTAGTCATCACTACTTTTCCTTTATTACCATCTGATAGCATTTTTCCAATCCGAATGATCCTAGATGGATAAACGAGTCAATATTTCGTTCAGTTTTTGTATATAACTTAGTATCTATGTAACGAAAATGGTTGATAATCCCGCTCTCGAATTTATATCCCTACTTCTGGTGATTATTTGATTGATGGACCTCTGCAAAACAATGTATCGTCCTTGGTATATGTCGCATTTGATATCCACTTTGCAAGCTGTTTCAAGTTGATTTCAAATGTCGTTTTCCGCAGTCTTATATTTGCTTGTTTGGTCATGAAGCTTGATGGCTATGACAGGATTTTCTACAATGTGGATAGGCAGATAGACGGTGTCATTGCCTTATGAAGATTTTTCATGATCAGCACCTTCCTTCCTAGTCTTAACCAATCTGCGTGAGAGACACAAGCAGCTGATTTACTTTGTCGTTAGGCACTCACGAACGGCTATTAGTTTCTTTAGCCAGTAGCTTTGAACCAGATGCTATCCAACTTTTCATATTTTTGAATCGCTGTTTAATATCAGTAGCTGCGGTAATGGCTGGCTTGGCTCTGAGAGGTTGCTATGACTTCTTATGTCTTCTTGCAGCCATTTTGCATTATTATGAATCTTCTGTTTCTCGGAGACATTCTTCCAGTATTGTATAGTTTTTGTTGCTGATAATATGGTAAGTCTGTTGTTACCATATTATTGCACTGAAGTTGAGAGTATGCCTTGGACGGCTCCTTGGAGAAGATTCAGCATCTATCTTTTTAGCCTCTGGTTCTCTAGTATACCTCCGTCAGCTAACTAATTTCTTTATGCTCTGATCTTATTTTCCAACCTCCTTTCCCATAGGAGAACTGCATTCCTCTTAATTTTTTACCCCATCGTTTCGAGAATTACAGTGGCTGTGGTATACACACCAATTCATTAGTTTTCGTTATAGTGGCAGCAAGAATTATTGCGAGGATTCTGTCTGCATCTTCTATTATTTTATCTCGTGATGCAATCACTGAGCCTCGGTAGTGCCTCTCGATGGTTAATTACGGCTATTCATGATATTCTACCTCATCATCTACTGTGCTTTGCAGCGGAGATATTGGAAAACATTTCTAGTTTCTCAACTTTTCAGTTTAGTCTGAGATGTAACAGAAATGATCCATCTCCAACTGAGATAGCAGTTCTCTCTTTCTTATGTTGGAGCATTGAGCCACTAAATGTTTTTCAATTAGTGTAAATTTAGGTCTTTTTTTTTGCATTCACAGTGCATTCATACATTTCCCTCTTTGATTAGATCTCCTTAAATCTACTATAGTTTACCTCAATTCCAGATTAATAGCCCTTTTAATTCGAGATGCCCTGATCCCACAAAACTGGCTTTATTCCAATAGTTCACCTGTCATCAGATAATCCTGAACCTTGCTTCTGACGCGGATCTTGTTAATATGATGTCTGAGCCATGTCTAATATGTGACACTCTTATATTGAGATAGAGCAGGTGAATATTAAAGGAGTCTTGCCCAAGGACTCCAGTGGAAAATTGTAAGCTTTGACTGCGATTAAACAAAAAGTTGTTGTTTCTATTCCATGCCGATCGTTCGCCTTTAACCATTTTGTTAAACTGGCGCAAGCCGTGGTTTATTTTTCAGTCATTTTTTAAATTTATTTATTTAAATATTTAAATATTTATATTATTTATAATATTTAAATATTTAGTTTTCCTAAATTAATTTTAGCTACATCTTTTGCAGTTCAATTTGGTCGTTTGTCAATTTTTCGCTATTCCGTTGGCATATTTCAATTATAAATATTTATCGCCAACGAAAGTTTCGAGGAAATTTCGAGTTATATTTCCACCAATTATTGGATTAATTTATTGTTATTTTTGTTATGGGAAGTAAATTTTTTTAGAAATTTTTTCTTTTTCATTTATGAAATAAATTTTCGTGGGCTCATTTAGCTAAAACTATGGACAAGAAAGAGAGAAGGAATTTCTCGTTTTTCACCAAAAAAAGTGATTCCGAATGGTTTTAGTTGGGACTTTACAATTTTTGGATTCACCTTACACTTATGGGCTTTTATAGATTTCTTCTTTATTTCTCCTTCGCCAAATCAAAATCCGTAATGTTGTTTATGGGCCGTCTTTTATCTTCTCACTTCACATTTTCAAGTTTTAAAATATAATTTCTTGGATAAAATAGTTGTTAAATCGATTTATAAGAATTGTTTATCTCGAAGATTAAGATTTTCAGTGCCATCAAACATTTATTGGCTCTTGTATTTATAGCATATGGTTTAATGCACCTTTCACCACCGAAATATGTTCACAAGTTGGTTTTTCATTATACTTTTCTTCTAAATTTGAAAATTTAAAAACTGAATTTTTAATTTTATTTAAATTTTTTTCGACTTTCAGAGAATAATTGAGTAATTTGATATATTTTGAAATTTTTATAAAATTTAAAAATTTTTAAATTTATTTCTAATTTCATACCGTTTGTGTAATTTTTGGTGAATTTTAGAACAGTTTTTATATTTGCAATGGGTTATCTTATTTTTATTCACTGGTATCGATGGTATATTTTAACGAAATATTATATCGATGTAACTGGTCCCATGATGGTATATATATATATTTTTCATACTGTTTTCTCTCTCATTTTATTCTGTAAATTCAAGAAAACAAATAAAACAGAATAATTAATAGCTTAATTAAGTTTTCTAAGATTTATTTCTAAGATTAAGATTTTTTTCAAAGAAAAACTGTTTTTTATTGAGGATTTTATTGAAAGAAGCAATCTTTCGATAATCTTGCAAAAAATGTTATTAAATAATGAGAAAATAATTTAAATCATTGTATGATATAGAAGAAAAAATAATTTAATGTGGAGAGGAAAGATGGAATTATTAAATTTATAGTAAAATGATTGCTTCTGCGGAGAGATAGGGAGATGGACCAGATCTTCAAATCCGAATATTCCCCTTTCCTCAAAATTATATTTTTTTTCGTCTTCGAATCCTATTTTCACCAAATTTCCAAAATTTTCCCTATATCCTTTCTAATTTCCGCAATATTTTCTTTACATCTCCATTTAAATAATTTGCTCCTTTGTAATTGCGACTGATAAGGACAGGGTATTAAGAGTATTAAGAGTACTTTTTTTTTATTGAGTTCTCACTATTACTGGTTAAACTCGCTCCGCTGGATTGTCGCGTTGGACAGTAAGCCAGGGAGTCCCTTGGCGACAGAAATAAAAGGGAGTTCAGGTGAGTCTCCAGCATCAACCAGATTTTTGCAGGTTTACTCCTGCGGTGAACCTCAGCATCGGCGCATTTCACTCCCAATTGAGCCATAAACCACTGAGCCATTAAGAGTATATTATGATTATATGATTGCAGCTTGATCTGAGAGAAATATTAAAAAAATTTATGCAAAGAGAGAAGAGCAAGGCGAGTCGAAGTCTTATGGTGTGCATTTAATGAGGTTTGGGGGACATTTTTCGCAAATCGCAATCAGAAAGAAGAATGAAAAAGTTTCATTACGACGCATCGAGATTTCTCAAGCAGTTTGGATCTAAGCAGTACTAATAAATTAAAGAGCAGTGTGAAATCTATTGTGAGAGGCGCAGTGAGGTTATAAGGTGGTCTGAGATGCTTTCGGATTTTAGTAAAAAGATGCGGTAGGATATATAGGCTATTAAAGCAGATTAGTTTTGAGAGTTAAAGAGAATTTTGAGGGTGTGAAGAGGGTGTCACAACAAATGGAAAGGAACTGGAAAGTGGTTATTCTAAAAGGATATTGTAGCAAATTAAGAGAGTGTGACCAAAGTGGGCATTAGGCTAGGTATACAGGGCTTAAAGAAATTAACTAGATGTCGGAGAATGTTGAGAGGTTGTTTAGCGCGGTTTTGAAAGAATTTTTGTAAAATTTGGTATTTTTTAAAGTGATTTTATAAGGAATTATTTTTTTCAAGCCTATGCTAAATTATTGTTGTATATATCAATTGTTTAGATAAACATAATTTTATGCGATACCGTTATTAAGGATTTCATATTTTCTTTACAGGTTATCGTGCAAAAAATTACTGTTTTAGCTTTTTCCATCCACGATGGTCTTGTTAAACATAAGGAAGAATTGAATGAAATTCAAAAACGTGAAGCGCTTTTGTAAGTCGGTCCATTTATTATTTTCTTCTGCTGCTTATTTCTGGCTTGCACTCAAAATGAGGCGTACATTTTAATGCGTAATTATATCATAATTAATAAGTATAATTAGAATAATTATAATTATATTTAATTGAAACCATTCCTTTAGAATAATTATAATCGACGATAAACCATTCCTTTTCTTGTTGTTTGCGCCCATCTGTCACTGGGCCTTTTTGTTTAAAATTCTTTTCCGATCATATCAATCAAATCTTAAATCTTTTTTATGGATTAAAGTAATAAGATTTTTTTCGGCAATAATATTTTCTTAATTCTTAATTCTCCTAATTACAGAGAAATTCCTTGTCCAAGCGATTATCTCAGTTATATTTTTCATTTTCAAGCTGTTTTGACTGGACCACTGTGTTTTTACACGGATTATATGAATTGGATCGACGGTACCCATGCCATGGGAAAAAATGGAAAGGTTTCGAATGATTTTTCTCTAGTGACATTATAGAGAAATTATTTTAATTCGATATTAAATCAGTTTAATTTATTTAATAATTTATTTTGTGTAGTTGGAATCTCAATGGTCAGCAGTTTGCAAGAAAATATTTCAAATATTGTTTTTTATGGTACTTGTATTGATAATTGGTGATCGTTTGAATCCGGAAATCCTTGTTCGTGAGGATTATCTGCAAATGAATCGGTTTTCCTGGTTTATAATGCTTTATATTGTTATGGTCAATCAACGAATACCATATTATGTAGTGTGGATTTTCGGTCAGTTATATAATTTTTAGAATTTTTGGCAAAAATTTTCTTATCTTTAAGAATATTGCTTCGAAAATTCAAATATTGTAGATTGTAAATATTGTTCCTAAAAAAGTTGTGACATTTTTAAAAATGTGACATTTAACACTTTTTCTGATCCATCTTCTGCTTTTAGCTGATGCTATATTTAATATTAGCGGATTTGGTTTCAATGGATATAATGAATTTGGTGAAGCGCGTTGGGATCTTGTTTCTAATGTGAATGTGTGGAAAGTCGAAGTATTAATCAATTTAATTTTGATTAGTTTCAGTATTTCAGTAATTTTCAGTAATTTTCAGTAATTAGTTTCAGTATTTCAGTAATTTTTTTGTAACATAAAAGGATTTCACAGAAATATTTTCTTTTTTGCCTTCCAACAAGCGAATTTAAGTAATGTAATGATTATTTAGACAGCTCTAAATTTCAAAGAGACACTTGATGCATGGAATTGTTGTACAATGTACTGGCTACGACGAGTTGCATATGATCGGGCTCCTAAGGGGTGATTTTTGGTCTTTTATATTTCCGTAAGGTCCACTTTATTTTGAGCTTCAAAATCAGAAAAAATTCTTAATATTAAATTTCTTTTTTAAAATTCTATAATTGTAAAATTATATAATTATAAAAAATAGTATAGTATAATTGAAACTCAGTGCTTGGTTATAATGGTTCACGCTAGATTTATTTTAAAATATGATTTTAAACCGATATAGTTCTGATTTGTTATTTTTGTCTATTTGCAGGTTGCAGACTTTCCTCACTTATTTGGTTTCAGCGGTTTGGCATGGTTTTTTTATAGGCTATTATTTAACGTTTGTAACTGCAGCGTTATTCACAGTTGCTGCTAGAACAGCAAGTTTTTTATTTTTATTTTTTTTTAAATCTTCAGCTCTCTCTATCTCTTCAGCAGAAATGGTTATGTTGTTAAAAAAGATTTTAAAATGTTTTAGATCCGTCGCTGTGTAAGGCATCGCTTCCAAGGTACTAAATTCTCCCGTCAGTTGTATGATGTTATAACGTTTATTGTAACGAAAGCTGCGCTTGCATATGCAACGTTTCCTTTTTCTACAATGCATGCTAATCCTGGGCTGTTCGTTTACAGGTGGTTTTTGCATAGAATATTTTGTATAATTTTGTGAAATTATATATAGTGCCTTCAGTCAGTTTGTGTATGCAATAATGAAAATTTGTGGCGTAAGGGTTACAAAAACAATGGGGAATTTGAGAATCTTTCTTTTGGTTCCGATCATTAATTTTCTATTTTAATTCTTTTTAAGGCGAATGTATTTCTTCATGCACTTTTTGGCACTTGGTGCAATTTTCATATTGCCATTAATTTTATCATTTGAACGGAAAGTTCGAAAAGAAGCCGAAACTGGTAAAAATGTGTTATTCGAACGGAATAGCGAGAAAAAGTCGTGATACTTCTCTATAAAGAAAAAAGTTTCTCGATCAGGTATTGTTAGGTTTTGTAAAGTGACTTTTATATCAGTTTTACTAAATAACCAAAATTTTTATAGTTATTGGGTCATTGATAAAATATTAATTTAAAATATTGATAAAAATATTCAATAGATCTGGTTACTCATTAGGTTATTTATTGAGGTATTTAAGTATAATAGGTCATTCAATATTAGAAATTATAAATTAAATTATCAGATGGAAAGCAACTGGCCATACAACTTCAATTCATTGATTCTAATAAGCAAAAATTAGCTAATTGAAAGATTTTTTAAAAGTATTTTCAGGTTCTTCGATATTAATTGGATTATTTTTCTATCACTCATCTGTCTTAATTTTTTGATAAGTCAAAAACGCAAAAACTGAATTTTCAGTTAAATTCAATGTTCTTTACTTTTTTCAGATTTTGGTTAATGATTTGAATATGTCATAAGTTCATTTTGAGTTTGAGACCAATTGGCAATGCAGTAATTTATTTATTTTTGTGTGATTTTTTGCTGATAATTTATCTACCTCTTTATTGTGTTTCTTTATATAAGCATTTTCTGTATTCTTCAATTATTAACAAAAAATCTTAGATTCTTAAATAGATATAGAAAAATAGATATTTTAGTTTTATATTGTGTATATAGTGTATATTTACGTTTTATAAATTTTCTTATAAGCTGAGTTTGGATGTGGTTAAAGAAATTGTAGTTTCCCAAAAATCTGTATTCATAATAATTAGAACGATGTAGCACGAAGCCTCAGACTTAATCTGCTTCTTTTTTCCTGTAAATTTAAGGATAGCATTAGGTTTGTTTCTTATCATTTTTTGTTATCTGAAATGGAGAGACGTCCTTATGGATTAATATCCTTTAATTTATTCTAAAAATCTATTGTATTTTATCAAAAAAACCCCGAACTTCGTTGAATCGATTGTTAACATTCCCAAATTATTAGAGAAATGAAGGATGGCCAGCCACCAAAACCCTGTTGTTTTCTATTAATTTTTTTGAACATAAGGTTGCTTTTGACTGGCTTATTTCTTTTTAATATCGTTTTAAACTATGTTGCCATCTTTTACTTCTCTGATAATTTCGTCGGAACTCTTTCTATTCTATATTGCAAACCCATTAATAAAGACTTCTTGAATCGTTTTATATAATTATTAACCTCCTCTTATGTTTTATTTTGTTCAATGTCGCTATATATTATCAATTATTATCAATTTCGCTATATATTTCTGTTATATTATCAAAATAGCTGAAAAAGCTGTGGTGAATTTGCAGATATTAAGGTAAAATAGAATAGAATAGAGAATAATAAGGGAGAATGGAGAGTTCTGGCGAGTGAAAATAATGTAATAGAGTTGGAAAGATGATAAGTACTGAGGAAAAATATAGGGGAGAAGCTTATAAGATTTTTCTCTCGTTGGACAGCTAAGGTCGATAAATTGCCATTTTTTAAAATGATAAAATTTGTTGATAATATTTATTTTATCGTTTATTTTTTGAAATGAGTAGGTAAACTCATTATTTTTCGCTTTATAATGGGGTTGCATATAATATTTTGGACGTTTTTCCAGATTTTTATGTAAAAATTTAAATATTTTAAAAATATGTAATATGTAAAAATATTTTTATGCAAAATTTTATCTGATATTTTTATGTAAATATTTTATGTAAAAATCTACTTTTCTTTAGGTCAATTCCTTAATATTTTTTCATTTTTTATGCTTTAAATCTTATGTTAACTAACCTGGACAAATAAGCGTATTTGCTTATGTTTTTTGTCCCAATGATCGAAACCATTCAGATTCTTTTCCATTTCCTTGTTTATTAATTTCGTATTGAAGTTAGATATGTGCAAAGGTTCACTCCCCTGGTAAATAAATCTGTCATTAAAAGTATAATCCGAGTGGCTATGGAAAAAGCATTATCCCTGAATGGTGATCTCATCTGAGGAAATCCCATCGCTATAGTCCGTTGAGCTAGTTAACTAAAAATGATAATTTTTATTTATGCCCTTAGGTGAAGCAAGGTGTGACTGGTTGACTAGTTTGATGTTATAATTGATTATAACGAGGCTGTTCCAAATTTTGATTTAATCCCACAGAGATTTGGAACCAAATAATAATATCTATTAAGTATTCTATTCATATCGAGTTTTATTTAGAGTTTTCACCATTTCTGGTTAAACTCTCTCCGCTGGCTTGTCGCACTGGATATATGCCAGAGAGTTGGCGATAGCAATATAGATGAATCGCCAGCATCACCCGGATTTTTTGGAGAGGTTTACTCCTGCGGAGAGTAGAACCTTTGTATCGGTGCTCCGAATTGAGCAACAACCCACTAAGCCATCCTATCCCCATTCATAAAATAATAATAATTAAATTGGCTAGCGATAATAAATATTAATAATTGTAATAATAAACAATAATAAGTAATGATAACGATTAGTAGAGATATTTTTATTATATCCATGATATTCCTGTTTTCCTGTTAGTAAATAGTAAAGTATTCCTGTTTGTGAATTTAATCCACTTTCCAAATTCATTTTATTCGTGTATTTTTTTATAAGTTCTTTCTTTTAATATATTCGATATATTTTTTATGACATTTTTCCAGTCTTTTATAGTCTTTTAGTTTTTTCTAAATTTTTTTATTTTTAAATTGAAGGAATTAGATTTAACAACTAAATTTATTTGAATTGTTTTTTACGTAAGAAATACACTCTTACATTTAAAATTTCTTTCTTCCATTTTTCATAATTGTAATTTTTATGTTTTATATTTTTTATATTTATAATGTTTTTCCATCTTTTTTTCTTATATTTGTTTCGTAATCCGCAAACGCAGTTATTTAACAAAAATTTTTTGTTTTTTCACTGTTATAAATTTTCTTTCATTTCGTTATTTTTTTTTCTTTGGTGGTAATTTAAAAAATTTTCATAATATTTGCGGAATATTTTCTATTTTCATAATACTTTATATCAATAATAGTTTCAACTTTGAAGAGCAGAAAAAACGAAAAAGGAAAATTTAAGCGAATTATTGTATTGAAAGCCTAGAACTTCTATGTATGGGCCCTAAATCTTAAATCTTGTTGATCGAAATTGTATGGTATCTTATCAGAGAATGAATGAAGTGGTAGGCATGCATCGGATTTGCTGTAGAATGACGATTGATGAAAAACGGGGAGTTCTGAGGATAATTCTAAACGAGTATATTTTTTATTTATGGTTCAATATCTATGCTGTGGTGGGATATATATACGAACTGAGGTAATATAGGTGGAAGTAATTCATCTTGAGGTGTAGATTAGGAGATTTATCGAAATTGTGCTTAAAAAACTTAAAATTCTGCCTGTGGCACAACTCATTCTTTCATATGATAATAGATATTGTAAAAATAGATTAATAATATTGTAAAGCTGCTTGCCCGCCATACTAATTTTAGGATAATCTTGTCGTCTGCTTTATCAGGACAGTAGAATGAACATTGATCACCGCATGTATTAATAAAAATTTTATTCGCCATCTCAAACTCGAGCTTGGGTAATTAAACTAATTGATATATAAACAGAAAATAAGATTCGATTAAAGAATAAATCAAAAAGATTAAGAAGGTAATTATCTCAAAACAAATAATTAAAAAATAATGAAGTATAAGGGATGTTAAATAACAAAGTATTGGGACCCAACCATTCGAGTCTTTTGATGGCACCAAAATGGGGGAAGAACGATTTCCTTGAGAAGAATGTACAATATATATTATATGAAAACAAAGAATTAAGTCAATGAAAGGCTTCATTAGTTAAATAACAAAGTATTGTATACCAGAAAACATCGCATTTCGCGACAGGTATAACATTTTGCCTGTTCATGTTATCTAAGAGGTAGTTCGACTAGGTGATAAAGTGATAATAATATATTTTCGCGTTTTTAGCATATCAGCCGTGGCCAAGATCCCAGTCAATTTTATAATATGTCGTATTTTTTAAAAAATTTGATTAAGTTTTAAATAAATTGTGTTTTGTCGCTTTCTTAGTTTCTTCTTTTTTCTTTCGGTCAGTCAAATAATAATAAGTTTCTAACGACTTGTACTTGGTTGAAGCCATCATAGATTCCATTTTTAGCAAACTTGTTACTAAGGATGGAGTTCCTCTTCTACCACCAAGTGAGTCTCTGGCGAAAGAATTTTATCTAATAAAATTTTGAACTTGGATTGAATGAAATTATATTTGAGTGTTTTCGTCCAAGGACCCTGGCTAGCTTGGGTTCCAAGTTGTTTTTTTTGCGTATCAGTGAGCATGGCCAGCGAACCACTGTGTATAATTTTATTGCGAAAAAGTTGTTCGAACTTTATTTTCTAACTCACAATATTATTATCACGATGTACATAAAAAAATAAAATCACGAAATTTTCGGTTGAACATGCACATCAATGCAACTTTTATCGTCGAGTACCATCTTCAAAGAATACACCACCATCAATGGCACAATATTTTGGGCAGATGCCTCGTTCGCCTGCTACACCTGGTATACCAGGTTCGCCTTGTGTACCAGGTTGGCCGTGTAATCCGGGTAGCCCCGGTGATCCTGGCGGACCTTTTGGTCCTGGTGGTCCTGGTGGACCATCTGGTCCAGGAAGGCCTGGTGCGCCCGGTGTGCCTGGCGCTCCTTGATCTCCTGTAAATTAATCATTGAAATTTTAAAACTAAATTTGTTCAGGATTTAGCGAATATGTATCCATTAAAAGATCTCAATTTACCTGGTGGTCCAGGTTCTCCTGGGAATACTGTGCTAACGGCATCTCTTCCGGGAGGCCCTTGCGCCCCTGGCGTTCCTGACAAGCCTGGTGGTCCTGGTGGTCCTTTTGGTCCTGGAGGTCCGGGTAGGCCATCTCCGCCTCCATTCCCTGGAATACCATTTGGTCCGGCGTCACCTGGCAATCCTGGTGGTCCAGGTGGGCCAGGTGGTCCTTGTGGGCAAGGTTTGCATGGCGGTGGAGTGATTGGCTCGCATGGCTGCTGCGGTGGTCGACCTGGGTTGCCTGGAAGGCCTGGCTTTCCTGGCCTTCCGGGTCTGCCTGGCGTTCCTCTAATGCCTTGAGGTCCCGGCGGTCCTGGCAAACAGCAACTTTCACAACCAGCTCCTCTTTGCGGTCCTTGTATTTCAACGCTCACTTCGGCATCATAACCAGCTTGTCGAGCTGTTCTATTTTTTTGTGTTGGTGTTTGTTTCAGATTACCGACCTCATTCCATATATCTCTTGCTGAATTCTGAAAATATGTTTTTTTATGACAAATATATTTTTTTTTATTCATTAAATTTATATGCTTATTTTTTTAGCTTTACCACATTATATAATCGAATTGTTATCAAATCACTTGGTGGTCCTGGTGTTTCACAAATTGCCGCAAATTTAACTTTTTTTTTATTTTTATTTATATCTTATGCAATGCGATAAAACTGCCTTTCCGATAGCCATTTGTGCTTTTAATTCTCAACGAGCCTCTGGCGAAAGGACATTACTCCAGCATGAAGAGTTAGTATGCAAGCAAAATCAAATGTGATGCGCCTGCTATTAGAGTAAAATATCATTGGGGCTTTCATTTTTTATATAATTAAACTTTTTTATAGGGGCACAAATCATTTCTGGTTAGGCTATCTCCACTGTATTATTGGACCAGGCAAATTTTGCCAGGAATCATTACTTGGCGATAGAAAAACAGATGAGTCGCCAGCGTCACTCGGATTTTTCAAAGCCTATTTTACTTCTGAGCTGGAGTGGAATACTGGCATCTGAGCTAAAACAATGGCCTACTGAGCCATTCTACCCATAGTAAATTGGTTATGATTCTACCATTTACTTCGCAAAAAAAGAAAAACTTTTTCTCAATAAATTCTTTTAAATTTCTCATTAAAAATTTTATCATTTAATTAATACGATAATTTGATGAGAAAACGACAAATGAACGGGCAATTTTTCAATTTATTATTTTCCTACAATTTAGCAATGGCAAATATTTTTCTTCTTTTTTTTCTATTTAACAATTAATTACTCGATTTTTCTGACATGTAATCAAAATGGAATATTTCATTTTTATCAATTGATAGTAACTTGACTATTAAGGTGATATGCCATGATACATTATCAACATATGAGAATAACAGTAATAATAAATGGCTTAAATAATTAATTATAATGTAAATTGGTAAATTAAAATAAAAATTAGTGAATTAAAATTTTTGGTAAAACCGAAAATAAATACCTTACAATAAACGATTTCATTTGACATTTGTCGTTTAATCTGACTTACATACGTATAAACCATAGGTAACGTAACACATATGGATAGAACGGCAATAGTCGAAAATATAACAGCGGCATAGGAAACAATTTTATAGGCCTTAACTCTATTATCGAAATCCTCCATCATTCATTCGCTAAAAACCGTTGTATAACTAAAAATAATAAAAATATCGTTTCGACGAACGCTTTAAATAGTCGAATTTTTCTGGGCTTTATTAAGCGAAACGAACGATGCGAATGATAGCGGACAAGCCGGTGTGACAGCAATTTATTTTCCTTCTCTTTGTCAATTTTCCCAAAATTTCTTTCGTTTTTTATTTTTGCAGAAAAAATTTCGGAATTTTTCTTTAAACGACCATTTGCATCATTAAAACATTGAATATTTTTTTGCCTCTTTTTTTTCTTTTAGCTAATCGAATTCTCTTTCTTTAATCTTAAAAATCCTGTTTTTTTCGCAAAAGAATTTTTATTTATTTTTTTGTTTTGAATAAAGAATCAGAGAAATTACTGCTGGAAATCGCACAAAATGCATAAAAAATTGTTTGACAAAACAAGTTTATTAAGCTTTTAATGAAATAAAAAAATAAATAAATAACAAGCAACATAAGCTCGTTTTCGATTTCGATTTGAGGAGGCTGCATCAGTTTTTTCTTTTTTATAAATACATTTCCAGGTGCGTGTGCCCGTGTAAGTGCCCGTCATTTATTATCTTTGATGATAATTTTATCAAAATTAGCATTCCAATTAATATAAATGTAGGATGAGGGCGAATACATACAAATACATATGATCGTTTTAGCTTTTTTTTTCAAAAAATACTCCACGAAAATTAATAATTTTTATTTTTTCGAATTCCTTTTTGGATAATTTTAGATAGACGTACTTAATTTAATTCTGGAAAAAACAACAAAAATCATAAATATGTGCATGCACATGCATAACTAATCAATGAAATTCTTTCATGGAAAGAAATTCTTTCAGTAGAATGCACTGATGAAATTCTTCCTTGAATTATAATTAAAACTAAAACTAAAAAACCAAAATACCAATATAATTTCTAAGTGATGTTAGAAGCGAACAAAATATCGAATAATTTCTTTTAATTAGAGATGACAAATCATGCACATGCACATGCACATGCACGCCAAATCGTCGATAACACGACGAAAAAAAGACCGTTGGTTCAAATAATTGAATAGTTTCTTTTTTGAAAAATCGGATTCATTGATCTTTTTTTTGATTTATCTTTTTCTTTTTTGCAAAAATTACTTTTCGAATTTGCTATTTGCGAAATTTGCGAAGAGAAAATTCATTCGAAAGTGATTAATAATTTCTTCGTTTTTTAAGATAAAATTTTTAATTTTGAAATTTATTATTTTTCTCAATAAAAAATTTTTCTGCTCGGAATTTCAAATTTATTAATTCAATTAATTTATTCAAATTTGCTATGAAAATATTTGAATTATTTATTGAAACATTTAAATAATATTTTCATTGAAATAATAGCACAGTGATGATATGCGAACGGAATGAATTCTCTGCTCATTTATAAGATCTCTTAAAAGTGAAATTCAAGGACTCAAATCCCATCAAATTACATTAAAAAATTGGCGAAGTCCTTTCACCGTTGTCATTTAATATTGGATAAAAAGAAATAATAAATTTACAAAACCAATTTATTTATAATTATTTATAACTAATACACATAGAATGAAGAAAATGAATTCTAAAAATCTATTTCCTTCAATTTTATTCGAAGAAATCGTTAATAATCATTAGGGTCACAAATGTGGAGAAACTTAAATTGAGGTGAATAGTAATTGATGTATCTTCAACGAAATTCTCGAGGTTGAACATCTCATCGAATCAACGGGGTTTTCTCATGCAGGTTTTCGCAAGGAACTTCACTTTGCGTGACTTGACTTTGTGACACTTTCATGCCATTGGGTGAATTAATCATCTGTAACATAAGAATATTTAAATAAATTTCTTATTATTTACTATTTTGAAGAAACCTTGCATAACCATTTCGTGTCATTTGGGCGAATCATCTATAGCGCAAAAAATAAATTTTTTCGATAAATTTCATAAAACTTTATAATTATATTATAGTAAATTACACTGTGGCGAATGGCTCAGTGGGTTATAGCTAAGTTCGGAGAGCGATGCTGAGGTTCGATTCTCCGCAGAAGTAAACTCGCCCAAAAATCCTGGTGATGCTGGCGACTCACCTTTACTTCTATCGCAAAGGGATTCCCTGGCGTATTTGTTCAGTGCGACAAGGCAGTGGAGCGGGTTTAACCAGTAATGGTAAAGACTCTTAAAAAAAAAATTAAAAAGCTAAATTAAAAAAGCTAAATTATATAGAATGAAATATGAATGTTAGCATAGAATGAAAATAATTGAATATAATTAGAAAATAAAAAAACAAGAAGTTTAAAGGTGAAGCAAAACTTGGTACTAAAGAAAAAATTTAAATATCAACAGAATCAATCAATAATTGTTCACAATTAATGGTCCTTTAATTTGTCACCATTAATGAATGAATGATTAAAAAATACATTAACGATAAGACGATATGATATGCATCTGTCACCAAATGGTTTTCTTATGTGTTTTCATGCAAATGCTGTTATACTTGTGAATTAATAATAGGGTTAATCAAAGCAAAGTGAATTGAAATTAAATGCTCACACTTATAAATGATAAATGATTTTATAAAAAATAAAAAATAGCGTTATCAATAGCCCTAATAAATTTGATTATTCATTTTTCTTTAGAAAATCCTTGATTTATTATCAAAATTCGAATGGCACCTGACGGAGAAAAACAAAGGTGAATAGAATTGTTCAGTGGATTGCTGTTCATATCGGAGCGCTGAATTCTATTGTAGAAATATATATAAATTTTATTATTATTTTTTGCATTTTATTATCATTATTGCTTAATTGTTTAAGGGAAAATAAATTTATAGTACTCACCGACAATGGTCCTTTTGTTTATCATCATCAGTTGTCACCACATCTAATCCTCATTAAGCAGTTTAACGACTTCAACAACGATAAATTTGCGGAACGATGAGATTCCCACATAGCAAGAAATCGAAATTTTTTTCTAAATTTCACCAATTTTTATCCAGTTTCTAACTTATTCATGCAAATTAATAAATAAAAACCCTTCGGATTTATCTAAATTCTAGATTATTCTAAACAAATTGTCACTGAATCACTTCTAATTTGATATTCACTTAATACATAATATTATATGTAACGATATTTTGATTATTTATGTTCATCCAGAATCCACAAATTCAACAAAAAACATCCAAAACACTTTTTTGTATTTTTTATATTTTTGTATTTTGTATTTTTCAATGGCGAAATGAGTTTAGAAGTAGGAATTTGATATATATTCGTGATATAGTATAAATTTATGATCATTGTGATTTCAAAATTAATGCAGTTGCACTGGGAAAAATTTTTTAATTTCTCCATTCATTTTTTCATGATTATTAATGTTAGACTCATGGCCTAGGCCACTTCTGATTGTTTTGTAATTATATAAATAACTGTATTAATAAATTAATAATTTAATAATAATTTATAATAATAATAATTTATTAAATTAATAATTTAATATTAATTTAAAAATTTCCACAAGTTGTCTTTTCTTACATGTATTGTTTTAAAAAATTTCGATTAAAAACTTATTATCGAAAAATTACTTTCATTACTCCTTTTTGCTTTTATATTTTTGAAAATTGATAAATTATCTTGAACGGTAAATTAAACGTCGAGCATCGTTTAGAAATAGGAATATTAGAAGTTAAATAAACCAGAAATGATGGAAAAAAAGCAATCAAGCAAAATATTTGTATACATATCTGCATATTTAACAGAATGTTTAACGCTTCAGCGCTTCTAAATTTTTTATTAATTAAAGAGCAACAAAAAAATTAAAATCAAATTTTTGATGAATGAGCTGTGAAATACAAATTAATTGTATTTTTTCTCAGAATTTTTTTGAATCAATCGTGCAATACAATTAATAATTAATAATCGCAAAAGCTTTCCAAATTCCACTTTTTTTACTATCTTTTGGGTTTTAAAAATGCCAAAAAAGATTTATTTTCAGTGAAAAATTACGAAAGATAATATTGCATTATCTCTTTAAACCTCCATCTCCACCAATATTTCTCGAATTACGCTCATTTTTGCTGATTTAATATAAAATAATAAATATAAAATAACAAAATATATAAAATATTAAAAATAAGTAGGGAAGTAAAAATTGATCCTTAGCCGATGCACTCCGGGATATTCGTCGCTCTTTTTCGCTTTTATTCGCTCTTATCCGCTATTATTGATTTTCTTTACATATCTAATTTTGAAAATAAATCGTTTTTATTTTTTATGAATATATATTTATAATTTACTTATTTACAATCAATTTATAATCAATAATTCAATAATTCATATTTATTTATATTGTTATTTCTATTTTGTTCTACTTATTTTTTATTTTTAGCGTTTATTATTATTCTTATTTATTTTATATTATTATTTACATTTTAATTATACTATATTATATTATTATTATATCATATTTTATTATCATATTACATCATATTTAAAAAATACAATAATATGACATATTTTATTAAATATAAAATTAAATTTATCAGATAAATTCTTTCTGTATTTGAACGATTAAGTCGTAGAAGAATTTCTCTGATTATTCACTGTAAAGCCGATTAAAACTATGTATCCGACTACTAGATAACTGCATTGTTTCCTTCTTTCATACAAAATTCTGTTCGAATCTTTGTTGCGATTTGCGATTTTATCTTTTATTAATGCATTATATTATTGCAAATGAGCAATGTTATCATTTATTGCGCCTTATTATTTGTGCATATCTGGAAAAAATTTAATATATATTTAATATTTAATATTTAATAATATATTTAATATTTATTTCCACCAAAATCTGCAAAATTTTATTAAAACTCATCCCATTTCCAGTTAAATACCATCCATCCTAATACCCTCCTAAGTTCAACTATCCCTTTTTTCCCCTCTTAACCTTTTTGACCCCTTTAACCTCTTCTAGACTTCTTACCCTCCA